TTGATTTTGAGGTGCCTAAGAGACATTCCTGGGGAGAGGGCAAGCAGGCAGTTGAAGGTGCTGATCTCCAAGGTCAGAAAAGAGACTCCAGAGGTAAACTGAGTTGCTGAAATCAACAAGTAAATCCACAGGTGTGGTTGAGATCAGCTGATAGCAGAGTGGGGCAAGCTTGTGGAAAGAGGCTGGGAGTGTGGCTTTACCCCCTTTGGTAGTGTAGGAATTTCTCTCTCTGTTGTTCAGGTGTTTTATTTTGAAATAATTTCAGAATACATGAGGCTTGCCAAAATAGTACAAAGGAGCCTTGGACACAGTTCACCCAAATACTCCTTATTAAGATTTTACCATGTTGGCTCTTTCTCTCTATATTGTTTTCTAGAGTGTTTGAAAGTTGCAGAAATGCTGCACCTTTACCCATAAACAGATCACTGTGTATTTCCTAAAAATAAGAACATTTTCTTTCATAGCCACAGTATAATGATCAAAATCAGGAAATGAACAGTGTTGATGATGATGTTATGATGACCTTTAGAGCAAAGAAATTTCTGACCCAAGGGTCAATGCAGGATCACACATTGCAAGTGTGGTAGCTCCTTAGTTCTTGTCTTTTATGATCTTGATGTTATTTTGTTGAGTGTCCCTCAATTTGGGTTCGTCTGATTAGATTCAGGTTATGCATTTTGGGCAGGAAAGAGTGAGAATTTGTCATGGCAAGCATATAATCCTTTTATACTTTTACAATTTTCATTTAAAACAAAAGTTGAGGGGGCACCTGGGTGGCTCAGTCGGTTAAGCGTTGGACTTGATCTCAGCTCAGGTCTTGATCTCAGGGTCCTGAGTTCAAGCCCCAAGTTGGGCTCCACATTGGGCTCCACGCTGGGCATGGAGCCTACTTAAAAAGATAAAATTAAAGCAAAAATCTGAGAAATGATCCAAGGGTACTGAGTTGGAGCTCAAGAGGGGAGCACAACCAGGAACATGTGGTGCTCTAGGCTGCCAGAGGCTGTGCGAGGTGGTGTGGCCAATTCCTTAAGCCCCTGGACTCTGGAGCCGGACCCTGGCCTTGAACCCTGGCTCTATGCCTACCAGCTGTGTAACTCTGGGCAAGTCATTTAACTTTTGTGCGGCTCAGTTTCATCTGTGAAATGGAGACAATAAGGCTCTTATCCCTCAAAGCGTTGTTGTAGGACTGACTCAATATGGATAACGCCCTAAGGAGAACTTCACTGTATTATCACCAAGTGGAGAAAGTTGCCGGAGAGTTTGGCATGGGATGCGCGAAGGAGACAGCTGGGGGATGGAGGGCCGGGTGGTCTACTCAAAGCATACCTCTAAGGAAGGGGGAGGCAGGGCATTCTGGCAGAAGGGACCACCTGAGATCGGTATAGAGGGCAATGTTGGGGCGGGGTCCCAGCACGAGGGTAGGCTGGGAAAAGGAGGACCGCGCCTCGGAGAAGGCTGGGCTAGAGAGGCAGCAGGACCTACCTCCTGTCACTGGCTGCCCCACCCGGACCGGCCCTTCCTGTTCTCCACGTCCCTAGCATCTCCCCCAAGCCACCCTGAGATCTGGGTGCCGTGTCCTCCAGCCCTTCATCCCCCTCCCCAGGCACCTGGCGGCCCCGCAGATCAATAGTGTTTGCGAGCTGGGGGGCAGAGGAGTTTGGGCTCATTGGCTCCACAGAATTCACCGAGGTGAGTGAGCCCTGAGAAGCGGGTGGTGAAGGGGTTCCCGAGGAGGGGCCTGGCTGGGCTCACCTCGGGCCCCCTACCCGCAGGAATTCTTCAGCAAGCTGCAGGAGCGCACCGTGGCCTACATCAACGTGGACATCTCGGTGTTTGGTATGGGGCGCGGAGGGCGGGGGGGGGGGGGGGGGGGCGGCGCGGCTGGGCTGACTAGGGGGAGGAGAAACGAAGGGGCGGCGGCCGGAATACTCTCTCTGGTCTTCCCACAGCCAATGCCACTTTGAGGGCGCAAGGGACGCCTCCGGTCCAGGGCGTCATCTTCGCTGCCGCCAAACAGGTGAAAGGGGGCGGGATGGGTGGGGCTGGAGCTGGTCCTTGTTGCAGGGGCTTGGCGGTGGGACTGAGGCCGGGACCGGGGCGGGGGGGGGGGGGGGGCTTTTGAGGGCCCGCAGGCCTGTGCTTAGGATGGAGACTCCGGTGGGCCCGGCGGAGGACTGCCTGTTGGGCCTGGGGAGGGGCCAGCCCCAGACTAGATTCCTCTTCCGGTCAGATCCCCGCACCAAGTCCGGTTGGCCTCAGCATCTACGACAACTGGATCCGGTATTCCAACCGTAGCAGCTCAGCCTACGGCCTGGTCCCCAGGTGAGCCCAGGGCCAGGACAGGGGACCGGGGAGGGCGGGCTGGCCCAGCGCCCTCCAGCCCAACCACCTATGTTTTCGCAGCCTGGGCTCTCTGGGCGCCGGCAGCGACTATGCTCCGTTCATTCACTTCCTGGGCATCTCCTCCATGGACATCGCCTACACCTATGACCGGGTGAGTGGTACCCCTCTGTCCCCCAGCTAGGTACGTTGCTCCCCCATCCCCTTCCTCTCTTAGAGCCTCTCTAGTGCAGACTGAGTCTGGCTTCACCACTCAGTAGCTGTACTCCCTCCACTAAGTTTCTTAACCTCTCTGAGCATCTGTTTATGCTCGCCTATGTTATTTTATCAAATTTAAGATACTACTGATTTTAAGATGCAACATTGTGATATGCAATATTGAAGGGGGGGCGACATACTGCCGGTTGGTTGTAGGATGACATTGACTTAAAAAGCATCCTGGGGCGCCTAGCTGGCTTAAGCCATGGAGCATGCAACTCTTGATCTTGGGGTCATGAGTTCAAGCCACACGCTGAATGTAGAGATTACTTGAAAAAAAAAATCTTAAAACAAAAGAGGCATTCTGATTCCAGAGATCTTAAAAAATGAAAACATGTTTACCCCAGAATAGATTAAATAACAGTATGAAACAGGGATGGATTCATAGCATTGGTGTGCAGAGTGAAGTGAGGTAAGGGATGTGGAGGGCCCCAGCTGTGTCTCCCTGCTTGATGCTCCAAAAAGCCCTTTCTCCCCCTCATGGCCATACCGCTCCTGGGTGGTGGAGCTGGGATTTGAATCCTCTCATCTGACTCCCCAGCCTCAGGCTCTTCTCCTGCATGTGAAATGGGAAACCGGCAGCTGGCCCAGCTCTGCCACTATTAGCTGTGAGGTCAGGCAGGCGACAGTCTCTCTGAGCCCCAGTGTCCTCCTCTGTAAAGTAGGAATTCTAGAACCTACCTCATGGCTGTAGCAATGATTTGAGTAATGTCCCTATGTTGTAGCTCACTGTTGGTACACCTCCCCCTCACTTCTCGTCCCAAGCCTGTCACCTTGGCCTTGTTCCCCTAGAGCAAGACTTCAGCCAGGATCTACCCCACCTACCACACAGCCTTCGACACCTTTGGTTACGTGGACAAATTTGTGGACCCTGGTGAGGAGGGGGGCAAAGGGAATCCTGAGGCTGGGGGAGGATGGCCTGAAGACTGAGCCCTGGCCTGGTCACCCTGCCTGCAGGCTTCGGCAGCCACCAGGCTGTGGCCCGGACAGCAGGGAGCGTGCTGCTTAGGCTCAGTGACAGCCTCTTCCTTCCGCTGAATGTCAGTGACTATGGAGAGACCCTCCGAAGTTTTCTGCAGGCTGCCCAGCAGAACCTGGGGGGCCTGTTGGAGCAGCACAGCATCAGCCTGGGTATGGAGCCCCCTTGACATGGGAGGTATGGGGAGCCCTGCACCTCCAGGGCTAAGATGCTGGCTGTTCCCCACAGGGCCTCTGGTGACTGCAGTGGAGAAGTTTGAGGGGGCAGCTGCAGCCTTGGACCAGCACATATCAGCACTGCATAAGGGCACCCCTGAGTGAGCAAGGGCAGCAAGCGGGTGTCTGGGAGGGCAGCATCCGGGGCAGAATGCAGGCTGGCCGCTGGGCTGCTGGTTCCAGGGTGACAAAGGTCCTGCCACTTCCAGCCCCCTGCAGGTTCGGATGCTCAACGACCAGCTGATGCTCTTGGAACGGACCTTCCTAAACCCGCGAGCCTTCCCAGAGGAACGTTACTACAGGTGAGCCTTGGGAAGTGCAGTGGGGTGAGGCTGGGCAATGGGCACCCATCTGAGGGAGGAGAATCTGGCCTTTAGAACACAACCCACCCCCCTGAAACAATTGGGGAATCAAGTTCAAAGGATGGGAAGCAAATCAGTCAAAGTCACCCTGGGACTGTAACCTACGTCTCTCACCACCACTGCTCTAAGGGCCCCAGCTTTCAAAGGCAGTGGGGAGGCGCTTTTGTGCCTTGCTATATACAGATGAGCCCGTTCCAGGCTGAAGCTCCTCTCTTTCCTGGTCCCCGAGTGACTTTGCTTCTCCGCTGTATCTCCCGTCAGCCATGTGCTCTGGGCACCCCGCACCGGCTCCGTGGCCACATTCCCTGGCCTGGCCAACGCCTGCTCCAGGGCCATGAACACAGGCCTTGGATCTGCAGCCTGGGCTGAAGTGCAGAGGCAGCTCAGCATCTTGGTGGTGGCCCTGGAGGGTGCAGCAGCCACCCTAAGGCCTGTGGCTGACCTCTGACCCCAGCTCCCCACCGTCCTTCAACCTATCCCACTCCAGTCGTTCTTGGGTGTGTCCCAGTATTCCTTGATGCCAACCTGAGGCACAATCATGGGACCCTATTAAGCTTCTGAGACAACAGCTTAGGGTCCCACCAGTTGCGGACACCTGAGGGGAGTGAAGCCTTCCTCATTCTGGCTCTTGGTTGGCAAAGGGTGACGCACAGGAGACAGGAGCGGTGGGGAGTGGCACTCTTGGTGTGGGTGGGTAAGGATGGGACGCATAATGCCAACCAGAGCTACCCCTCAGGGACGAGCAGGGGAACTGAGGCCCAGCATGGATAGTCTGAGTTGTTCTCCCTGTACATCCCTATCGTGTCTCAACTCCTCCCTGCTCTCCCCCAAATAAACCAAGCATAGTTATTATTCCTACAAAACCTTTTATTGTGTAGGAATTACGAAAAAAGAAACCTGAGTGCTTAGATCCAGTCCTGGGCTCTGGGAGAGTGCACGCCTTCTCCTCATGCTGGGGACTTGGGTCTGCCCACACCCTCATCTTCCTCCTCAGCCATGACCACCTCCTCCAGGGTGCGCCCTCCAAGTTTGTTCCCCACCAACACTTTGCAGGTCCCAGCAGGTGGCAGCCCTTCCTCAGTGTAGCGACCCCTGAGAAACACAACTCTTTCCTGTCCATCCAAGGGCAGTCCATGGGCCTGGCAGAGGTCCCGCGCCTCTTCGGGGCCATCCAGGGCCAGAAGGTGGACCATGAAGCCCAGAGGCAAGGTCTGGCCTTTGGGGGTGCTCAGGGCCCGAGCGAGGCGGGCCAGGGCTCCCCGGCGGGCACGGCCTACGTGGCACCAGACTGCGCAGCTCTGCAGGTAGGGCAGGATCCGGAGCAGACGGAACAGGCGGGCGGTGTTGCCTTCGCGAAAGGCCGAGTCCACAGCCAGGGCCCTGCGCAGGGCGGGGCAGGAACGCAGGGCATTAGGTAGCTGCAGAACCTCATGAAGGGCCTCCATGGAGCCTGTGAGGGCGGAAGCCAGGGTGAGAACTCCTTGTCTTTCCCCTACCAGGCCACCTTCCATCCCATCTGCTTAGGCCTCCTCCCATCTCTTCTCCCAAAGGCTGGGGTCCTCAGCCAGGCCCACCTCTGGCCAACCACCAGGCCCATCTCCGACCTTGGCTCGCCTACCTTCCACTCTGGCCACGCCCCTCCCCTGGGCCAAGCTCACCTTCTCGCCCCCTTTTTTCTACCAGCCCCTTCCAGAGCCTTATCTGAATGAGTTGCCAGAGCCCCTTCACACAGTCTGGATCCTCATAACAAAGTAAGGCATTGTTTTTGGATGAGGAGACAGGCCCAGATAAGTTCACGACTTGCCTGAGACTGTCTTAAGAGTTCGAATGTAGTACAATTTGACACAACAAAATCCAAGTTTTCTGACTTCAAACCCACGGCCCTTTCTCCACTGCCCTAGCTGCTGCACAGATTAGGAAGTGGGCTCAGCTGTCAACCTGGTAAAGCCTTTTCTTCGAGGACATTCTGCTTCTGCTTCCAGGAGATTCTCCAGGAGAATCATGGACACTGGAACCTTGGGCCACTTTTGTAAACTGAGGCTTCTGACCCATTAGTGGGTTTTGAAACCAAGAGCATTTGATTACAATTAAATACAATAGAATTTATTAGAATGCACCAACCATCCACTGGAAGGATCTAATGTCTTGAAACTTCTGTGTCAGATATATTCTCGGCTGTTTTGCAACACTGAACAGAGTTAAAAAAAGTTTGAAAATCCCTGGGCCAATTTTTCCGTTCCAACCCCGTCCTCTCCACTTTTATCCCAAAAAAACCCACAAAAAAACAAAAAATAAAAACAAACAAAAACCCAAATAGGGGAAAGGACAGGCCAGAGGGCCCACGGGGCGGCGGGTTCCGTGGATCTTGCGCGTGGACTCGACACACATTTAGAAGGCAGGGATGGGGAGGGAGCTAATGGTGAGACTGTCAAGTTTCTCTTTCCTTCCCCGGCCTCCACTGTCCCCACGGAGGCACCCCCCCCGCCCCGCCGCCGAGACCCCGACTCACCCAGGTTATAGAGCAGAAAGAGACCCTGGAAGGCGGCCTGGCGGGGATGCGGCCCGGCGCCCTGCCCGTAGCAGCGCCGCAGAGAACCGAAGCTCTCGTGCAGCTGGGCCTGCAGCAGCACCGGGTCCGCTGGGCCGCGCGCCGCGTCCGGCCCCAGCCGCGCCACCACGGCCAGCAGCACCGCCAGCGCCGCCTCCAGCACCGCCGCCGCCTCGGCGTCGCCCGCGCCCTGCAGGGCCAGGTCCAGCCGCACGGCGCGCAACCGGTCCGCCACGAAGCTGGCCACCTCCGCGCAGGAGGCGTCGGCGCGCTCGGCCACCTCGCCGGCCAGGTAGCGCACGGTGGCCAGCAGCACGGACGGCGGACGCAGCTGGCTCGGCGGGGGCCGCGCCTTGCCGGCGGCCGGCCGTTGGTACTCCTTCACGGCGCGCTGTGGGTCTGCGCGGGGCGGGTCGCTGCGGCCCCCCGGCGCCACCTCGAAGCGGTGCAGCCGTCGCTCCTTTTCGCGCTCGGCGCGCTCGGCGGCCGGGCACATGTCTGGGCAAGTGCCCACGGGCAGCTCGCAGCCGGCCATGGGGGCGCTGAGGGGAAAGGAGAAGCCCTCAACATCTCGGAGACGATGGCGGCCACTCGCCCCGTTCTACACGAGGACTGGCGGAGGCCGGCCGGGGCTCGGGCGCCGGGGCGGGCTGATCCCAGCCGGGCCCCGCCTACCCGCCCCCGCCGTCCTCTCACCGAGCCTCGTCAGCTCCCACAAAGCCTGGAGTTGGCCTCCCGAGACACACTGCGTCGTAGCTCAGCGCCGCCACTTCCGACTCAGACGCCGCCAAAGCTTCCAGGATGCACCGCGCCCAGCCCAGCCCACTCCCATGATGCGCCAGTTTGTAGTCCGTCCCGCAACCAATCGCTTCGCCGGAGGGGCGGGGGAGGAATGGAGCCACGCCCTCCCAGGCTTCAGCCCACCGAACCCCGAACCCTCCTCGCTCTTAGCCTTTGGGCACCTTCCAAAATGGGTAACCCCAAGTTGGGTTCCTCTTCATCATTCCCTTCACCCAATAACCTGGTTCAGTCGGCCTCCTGCCATTCTCTACTCTTGTTTCCCCGGAGACTATTCTCCCCATTTTCTAGATCAGGGGTCAGCGGACTTTTTCGGCAAAGGGCAAGATAGTAAATGCTTTGGGATTTGAAGGTCGCAACTGGGCAACTCAGCAACTATTCAACTCTGCTGGTGTAGTGGGAAAGCAGCCAAAGACAATATTAAGTGAAGGAGTCTGTGTTCCAACATAATTTTATTTTTAATACTTAAATTTCATGTAATTTTCATCTGTCACAGAATACTATTCTTTTGGTTTTTCTTCAACTATTAAAAAATGTAAAAACCATTCTAGCTCATGGGACTTACAAAAAACGGCCGTGGGCAAGATGTGGCTGCAGGCCATTGTTTGCAGACCCCTGTTCTAGATGGGTAAACAGCCAGTTCAGGACCAGGGATGCTGGCCATGCAAGACAGGCAGGATCGGCTTAAGTGTTCCGTCCTAATTCCAAAGTGGCACGTGTGGTCAAGGAGCTCTGAATTCATTATTTGTCTCATTCTTGGTCCAGTTACATAAAGAAATGACCCTTAGTGTTACTAGACCAGGATATCAGGCCAGGACCTAGGGAGAGCTGGCAGTGCTGGAGCTCCAGTCCCGGGCAGGGGTTCACTCCCTCTCAGGAGGGGGGCTGGGACAGGTGCAGGTGGAAGATTTCTTCTGCTCTCTTCAGGTACTCGGCTGCCTTCTTTTTCACACCCTCCCGGCGGGCAGGTGACGGGTCACCTGTGGAGAGAGAATGGCTCAGCTCAGATCCCTGGGTTCAAAACCCCTGGTCTAGTCCCCTACAGTTCACAGAGCATCAACATGTGTCTTTCCCTACCTCCCTGAGAATCAGGTCTATTCTCCCCATTTTACAAATAAGAAAACTGAGGCCACAAGAGGTAAAGAAACTGCCCAAGGTTGCACAGCTTGTCAGTGATGACCAATTCTGATCCTTGACTTGTCTTTCACTTTCCCTTCCCTTCACTCCACCGTCTGAGACTCTAGGCCTAACCTTCCACCTTCCGGTCGTACTCACCAGGAACGCCCTGTAGCAGGATGTGCACGCCGTCCCGATAGCCCTGCAGAGCTGCAGGGTAGGCACCTGCCTTCTCATCCCGCAGAGCCTGGGTGATGAGCTCTGTGGCTTGGCTCAGATAGGCAGGGGCCGGCCGGTCTTCCTCGTGCTCTTCCTCCTCCGGCCCTCCGGGCTCCCAGGGTTCCTGGTCCAGCCTTTCAGACTCTGCCTCCACCGCTGCCAGCTCACCCATGTGGGTTGGACTGGGGCCTGCACCTTCTACCATCAGATACGGAGGGCTCAGGCCAGACTGCCCTCCGTTTCCCAGGGCCTGCAGCCCATCCCCAGACCTCTCTTGCCCATCAAGGTACCAGCCTGCCCCAGGTGGAGGGAAGCAGTGCCTGAGCAATTCAAAAGCCATTCATATATAACAGACTAGCCATGATTGGTTTAATTGGTAGAGTTACTGTGTTTTTGTGTTTTTTTTTCCTTCAAGATTTTATTTATTTGACAGAGCGAGACACAGCGAGAGAGGGAACACAAGCAATGGGAGTGGGAGAGGGAGAAGCAGGCTTCCCGCGGAGCAGGGAGCCCGATGCAGGGCTCGATCCCAGGACCCTGGGATCATGACCTGAGCCGAAGGCAGACGCTTAACGGCTGAGCCACCCAGGCGCCCCGAGTTCCTGTGCTTTTGTAAAAACCATATTACCTTCCTAATTCTTTAGGTACATATTAACATTAGTTTGCGAGGTCTGGGTCACTGCGCCTACTTCCTTCCTGACTACAGTTGATCTACAAATCTAAGAATTCCCTCCGTAAAGTTTAACTGAAGGACGCCAGACCAAATAAGCCAGGCCAAGGGTAGAAATGCTCCAAACCTTGGAATGTCAGAATAACAGAGGCAGAGAATCTCAGGTCTTACAACCTCAGCTGAGGACCCAAACATGAAGACAGTGGGTGGTGGGTGTCCTCAAATTCCAGAGAGAAGGTCTCCTTATATACCCCAGGACTGGCCAAAAGGGGGCCAAACATCCCCTCTGCAGCTTATACAAGAGAAAGCTAGAGATTTGGTCCATCATTGGCGAAAAGGCCTTTGGAGGGAAAGTGCCAGAATCGGGAGCACCATGGCGTACCACTCACTGGTCTGGAGAGGGGAGGGTGGACATTTCTCTAACTCCATTCCAGTGACCCCATGAGGAGACTGGGAGGCCTCCTGCAGGAAAGGAAGATGCCCTCTCACTTCCCAGCTGGACATACGGCCCTCCCTGTGTTGCTCAGGGAGCAGAAGGCAGAGCGGTTCCTGGGATGCCCTAACATGAGGACGAGAGTTTGAGGCACGTGTTGAAGACAGAGATGAGTGCCAGCTCGTTGCCGGGAGGATTCTGATGCTGAGGGACTTGCTGGAGGTGCCCACAACAGTGGGGCACAGAGCTGAGGCAGCATCTGAGCAAACTGTACTTCCAGGCTTTGGCGGGGCAAGAGTTTGGGAGTTTTCTTTTCTTTCATTTTTTTTTAAGATTTTATTTATTATAATTTGTCAGAGAGAGGGAGAGCGAGAGCACAAGCCGGGGGAGCGGCAGGCAGAGGGAGAGAGAGAAGCAGGCTCCCCGCGGAGCAAGGAGCCTGATGCGGGGCTCGATCCCAGGACCCTGACGCTTAACCAACCGAGCCACCCAGGCGTCCCAGAGTTCAGGAGTTTTCTTATGGGCCAAGGGAATGTGTGATGGGAGCTACGTCCTAGGAATCCTGACAGGCTCCTGTCGGAGCATCTGGCCACTGGCCACCCCTGGGGGCTCAGCTGGGGCAAGGCAGGCAGGCCCCGGTGGTACCACCCTCACCTTTCCCCCTAATTCCTCCTTCCCCATCGCAGCTGCGGAGGGGCCGAAGGAACAGCGACGGGAGGAAGCAGAACAAGAAGAGGAAAAGGATACCCCTCCCCGGGCGCCTGGGTGGCTCAGTCGGTTAAGCGACTGCCTTCGGCTCAGGTCACGATCCCGGGGTCCCGGGATCGAGTCCCGCGTCGGGCTCCCCGCTCAGCGGGGAGTCTGCTTCTCCCTCGGACCCTCCCCCCTCTCATGTGCTCTCTCTCTCTCATTCTCTCTCTCAAATAAATAAATAAAATCTTTAAAAAAAAAAAAAGAAAAAGAAAAGTAAAGTTCCAGTGTCTCAGAGCCTGGGACTCTCAGCTCAGCTCCAGGACCCAGACCTCCATGGGAAGAGGGAGGGGGGCTTCCCCCTTCTATGGCGGGTCTGTGGGCCCCCACGTGCCTGGGCCCCCTGTGCTCTCTCTGAGCCCGGGTCTCATTCCCCCCACCCCCTACCAACAGGCCTCCCCTGCCTTCAGGATCTGCAGCGCGACCCTAAGCTGGCCAGGAAACCCCCCCTTGGGCTTCCAACGGAAGGAACTCAAATCCTCCCAAGACGGTGTGATGCCTGCCTGTTCCAGAGCTTTTTTGGGGAGAAGATCCAACTGTCCCTGAGAAGATCTCCCTTGTCTTTCTCCCTGGTTGCTCACTGTCCAGGGGCATCCAGCTCATGAGCCCTGGTACCGGGGTGCCGGCTTCCAATGCTCACTAAGGCTGCCAACTGCCCGGAGTGGGGCATCTTTCTAGGATTTACACAGGCACTACACACGCTAGTCGGTGGCTCTGCCCGCCCTCCTTGCCCCCACCTCTGCCCCCCTCTGCTTGTCCCAGCTCGTTACCTTCCCTGGAGAAGGGGTCGAAGAGGGCAAGCTCAGCCTCTGTGAGGGGGCCTTGGGCAGGGGAACTGGACGCCTCCTCGGTGCTCCCACAGTTAAAGAGGAGATCCAGGGCCTCCTGGGCAGGGCTGGATGGTGGGGGATCTGCTGTGGAACAAATCAATGGGGACATTCATGCCCGTCCTTATCATTTCCCAGCTTTCAAAATGCAATTACCCTCTCCCTAACTCCTTGTGGCACCCACGGGCATAGACGAGCCCACTCCTTGTCAGGGTGGTACCCCTTTTACAGACTAAGAAGTTGTAGCCTAGAGAAGGAAAATGGCCTGGCCAGAGCTCCTCAGCACGTTAGTGGTAGAGGAACTGGGACATACTGCAGCATTTTTACAAAGCTCACTGAGAAGGAAGTGTGTGTTCTCCACCACCCCCAGACCCTCCATCCCTGGCTCCCTTCCCAACCCTGAGGTACCTGGCACGTCCAGTTCCTCGAGGCCTCTCCTCTCTGTGGGGAGCGGCTGGGGCAACCAGGTATCCTCAGGGGGCGGTGTGGGGATCAGAGGGGGTGGCAGGATGTGCAGGTCTCTGCACACGTCGGAGGGCCGGGTCACCTCCCCACCCTGCAGGAGAGAAACACAGGGACAGGGTGGGGGAGGGGGTGGGGGGGTGTCTCAGGGTGCAGCCCAGGCGGCAGGTAGGCTTCCCAGGTGCTGGGGAGGAGGGACAAGCAGGGACACATACCCGGAAGAACTCCTTGAGCTGGGGGCTGTTGTTGAGCGCGGGGATGTGCACAGTGAAGCGAAGCAAGTCCTCAGCCCCCTTCCGCCGCTCTTCAATCACTGAGGCCTCAAACCGGCCTGCAGCGCCCCCCAGGACGAGGGGTGGGGAGAGAAACAGGGAGCCACAGGGGTCACTTTCCTGCTTCTGCCAGAGAGGATCCCAGCAGCCGGCCATCCCCCCAGCAATCTTCCCTGGCTCCTCCTGGGGGGTGGGCGTGGGCTGCTTGCAAACAGGGACCAAGCCCCCTAGGC